GAAACAATTAATACTCTACAAGTTAGTCTTGCTTTCCAACATGAGCATCCACCTGTTTTGAAAGGGCACAGATAGAAAGTCCATCTTCAGTTTGAGGAGATAATTCACCCTTCAGACCTTCATCCCTGTCCAACCTAGAACCATTGTTTTCCGTTTCATCTCCTCCCACTCAGTTTGACTCCTTACCAGGCTCTTGTGCACACATTCATCCTTCATCCAGCAGCTTAAGTTGTTAAGAGCCTCAGCCAGTTCATTTCTGATAAAGAGAATCTCAGAGAACTCAGTTTCAAAGCAGGGCTGTGGAGAAGAGAAATAAAATGAGATGCATCAGTGATGTCCATATTGGCTTGAAGACGTGAACTATGCAGCAGCTCTTCAGTGAGCAAATCTTGGGCCTCATTCATTGCATGGTAGTGCTTTATCATGCAATCATCCCAACTGATTCTTTAAATTAAATCTTTGGGCTTTACACCAGGACATGGCACTAAGTTTAGTTCTCTAGAAAATTAACCCTTAATCAGGCAGAAGACTTACAAACTCAGCTACAAGAGAAACCATATATAGCCAGCTGATTACTATGCAAAGAAATCAAAGGCTTTATCAGTTTGGACCTTTTCTTCCCACCGTTCTGAGATAATGAATACTTGGCTGTACTCTTGACCATTTTAGGAGGCAGCTCAACTACGTTTCCATAATGATCTTCTATAGCCTGAGAACTACTGCTTGCCACCTTGCTAACTTCAGAAAATATTGTTTCCTGTTCATAACTTTTTCATGGAAAATCCAGTGAAGGGAAAAATGGAATAGTTGTGCAATGGCTATGAACTGGTAAGCAAGGCCTTGATCTGCAACTCCCTTGATCTGAGCTGTCAGATGCTCTGGCTGGATGGTCCACTCACCCTCCGTAGGTCTGTACACAGGGCATGCTGGATTTCGTCATGCCTTTCCTCCAGAAAGTGACACAGGCCCTCCAGCTGTTTCATCCGATACTCCATAGGCCGTGTCTTTCCTGTCCACCAGGCAGCACGTAGGGACTCCACTAGGCCAGCGTAGGGGTTTTCACTAGGAGAAAACAAATACTTATAGAATCCAAATGGCTATGGAAGAGTCCCACTCCTTAGGTCATTTGTGTTAACCCTGACCCAGCAAGGCACGATGCCCTGTAGGAACTGGATGGATAACTGGTTTGCCTTTCTTTCGTTTTCTAACCCAGTTTTGGAGTTTCTGCCATGGGTCAATACAGTTTTAGCTTCTCAACATTTCATACAAAGACTTCTACTTCGGAGAAGGGTCAAAATAATATTTTTTCTTGTGAACAAGATTTCTGTCATTCATTTCGTGAAGAATGTCAGTGCTTGAATCCCACTGGTTTGTTCATGTTGGCCAAAAAGAAATACAAAATATCTTTGAAGGCATCTGGGTGAGCAGTGACAAGCTGCCAAGATGTCTGCTTGGAACAGCTACAACCCACAAACCTGAAGCTTGCTAATGTCCCCAGTGTCACCCTGCGTTTCCCAAGCTTGGGAATGAAGTCAATAATTCATGCAGAGGAACAGTTCCTATAGGTGGAACTTATAGATTATAGATTATCCCAGGTCAAAATCTACCATACTTTCCATGTAGAAAATCTGTCTTTCCTCATCTTTGCTGACCCCTTGTGAGCACAGTTCTAAGTGCACTGTCTGGATTCACACATCATCTTAGTCCATAACGTGGTTTGTTTAGTTCTGATATAACTAAACAAACCTCATGTTATGTGAACCCTCCCACAAGACTTTTAAGCAACATTTACAGCTTAGCATGCGATAGCCCTACTAAATCCCCTAGACTTTCAGCTGAATGTGCTTCAGATCCACCACCGTATGTGACTTACTTTCATGCCGTATACTCAGCGGAATCTGATTCTTCTCTTTTACCAATAAAGCATCACACAAACTGAGCTCAACAGAAAAAACAGACTAGTAATCTGGAGAGATCTCACCTAACCTGTTTTGCTCTGTACCAGTTTCTTACCTCTGTGTGTCCTGGCATTCGCTGGAAATCTTCTCGATTATGTCACATTTTGCATCAGGTTTCCCAGAAGAGCAACTCTGTGTGTTCTCACTTGGGCTTTCCAGGGGCGGTCTGTTTTCTTGCCTTCTACTACATTGTCCTGAAGAGCCGCTTTGCTGGGGAGC